GGCCTGGCCCTTCTTCTTCCTCCCTTTGGTGAAGATGCTGAACATGCCGGCCAGGCCTTTGGGCTTCTTCTTCTTCTTTGAAGCCTCCTCCTCATCCGGGGCCACCTCAGCCTCCGGGAGTGGCACAGGGTCCTCCGAGGAGGCCTCCGACATGGAGGCCTCTGACTCCGCCTCTGACCCAGAGCGAAACTTCAGGGGGCTTCCAGGGAAGTCAAGGGCCCCTGGCACCCGCTGCTGGCCGGGCAGGCCCTGGAAGGGCATCGTCTGCAGCATCGCCCCGCCTCAGGCCTGCAGGGAGCGAGGGGAGGGGAAGGACGGGGTCAGGTCGCAGCACCGGGTGTGTGGCAGCAGTAAGTGGGCCTGCTCAGTCGTCCCCGGGGTGGCCACCAGGGCTCTGGCTTTCTCCTGGCCCACGTGGGCACCAGCTCAGCTCCCTCCCTGGACACGGTTTCTCAGCACCCACAGTCTCCCCGCCCCACCACCACCACCACCACCACCATCACCACCACCACCACCACCACCGCAGCCCCCCAGCATCACCAGGCAGGGACCAGGCTGAGGAGGCCCCGCCTGCCTCCCAGCTGGAGGGGCCTCCCTTCCCTTGCAAAGCTTCCTTGACAGCCCACCCTCTGGGCAGGGGCTGCAGAGCATGCACCCTGGATCCCGGGGCCTGGGAAGAGACAGCGTGGCTGCGGTCCCATTGCACGGAGCACGGACCGAGGTCCAGAGGGGCGCGTGGCAGCGAAGGCTGGCTGAGGCAGAGGCCCAGCCCGGCACACCCTCCATCTTGCCCAGCTCTTCTCTGTCTTGTCTGGCTGTGGGGTCCCAGAAGGACCCTGTGAGCAAACATGGAACCCCGAGGCAAGCAGAGCCCCCCCTCTCCTGACTGTGGGGCTCAGTCTACAGACACCATAGCCCCCCTCCCACTCTAGGGGGGAGGACTTTGGAGAGCCGCCCACGTGGTGAGATTGGGGCTGCCTGCTTCTCCCTGCTCCAAACAGGGTGATGTCACCATCACAGCAGCTTTCACTTTCTGTGCCTTCCCGGGTGCCCACCCATCTCTTCCTCATTCCCACTGGGGGCGGGGGGGGGAGTCCTCATCTCACAGAGAGGACGCAGGGAGGCTTAAACTCCCCTACAGTCAGCAGCGTGAGCTCAGAACTCATCCCCTCCTCCGGGTCCCCCACCACCTTGCAAGCTGCACCCAGAAAAGCAGGACCCCTGCGCCCAGCAGCGCTTGGCCACCGTCAGAGCGAGGCCAGGGTCATGGAGGGGAGCATGGCTGACCCCAGGGAGCGAGTGGGGCAGAGCTGGGGACGGGGAGCAGACGGGGCCAGGCCTTCTTGGGAACTGGGGTGACCCATAACCATAGTGCCTTCTCGCCACCCAAGAGTAAATATACCCAGTCATGACGCACGCAGTGCGGTGACTTAAACGGCCCTGCCGCAGCCCCGCCACGTGGGTGGGCTGCCCACCATCCAGGAGAAACGAGGAGCAGGTGACGGCGAGGCTGTGGGAGGCTCTGCTTAGGCCGTCAGACCTTCCAGAGCCCCTGCTGCCTCCCCACCAGCCCACACACCTGTCCCATCCCCCGGCTGCTCACCCAAACCCCTGAGCTCGGCCAGAGCCACGCGGGGCCAGGGCACCTGGGTTGTTCCCACTCCCACTGGCCTCTCCAGATGCCCTGGGCAGGGTCCTCCAGTGCTTCCCGTGCCCCTGGGCCTGGCAGTCCCACTGCAGAGCCCAGCAGGGGTGCTCTAGGGGCCCCCAGACCAAGGTCCCCATTTCTGCCTCCCCACCCACTGCCCCCGCATCCCCTCCCAATCCACCCAGTTCATGCCACGCGCCCATGGGAGCTGGTCTGGCCATCTGGCGGGGGTGCTCTCAGGGCCACCCCGGGGCCTGCCCCACGTCTGCCCTCCTCCCAGGGCGAGGAGAGGCCACCCTGACCAGCAGGGCCACCAGCGTCGCCTCTGCAACCTCGACCCATCTCCCTGTTCCCACACGCTGGGCTTCTCTGACCACCAGACCCTGCTCTGCGGGTTCCCACGTGGTCCCCGCCTCCTCCCCTGGGCACAGACTCCTTCTAGGGCCCTGCGGCCCCCGAAGACTGCAGGCCCAGCCCGCGCCAGCCCCACGCGGGGCCAGGAAGGGTGTGGGGGTCTCAGGCCAGCGGGGAGGGCGGGAGAGG